CAGGGTGTATAATAAGGAGTAGCTTGTGAGCCTTGAGGAACTTCGAATAAAAACATTTCAAAATTCCACCAAAAAATAAATTGATAATCAGTCATAACCCATAGTCTCATAGAAGAAGACTTATAGAAGCAAGCGAGATTCGTCGTTGGCGGGTGAGAGAGTACGCTGATGTGCGTGGCTGGTTTCCCTCGTGGCATTTATATTCCGGGGTAACAACCAAGGGTCTAACGAGGCTCTTCGCCCCAAGCGCAATAGGCCGTTCGACACTACATGCAAGAGAAAAGTTTATTTATTACACGTTGCCAGGATTAAACCCAGGTCGCCTCCTCCGCGGTGCTGCAGGGTAACCCATGAGGCTCTCGATCTCGACGGGCGATCGGATGAGCATGTCTCACATATTGGCTGTTCCTGAGACAAAACCATCTTATTGAGCCCACACCACTTTGGCCAGCAATGGTCGGCCGTGGCTCCGCAGGGGATTCCGTTCCGACTGGCAGTAGTCTGCGGCCCCCCTCGGCAAACCTATCTATGATCTGTGACTAGCGAGACATATGGGGAGGAAGAAGTAGTGAGCCAGTTAGAGCAAGCGCCCTCAGCACACGACAGCAGCTAGCCTCACAAGAGAGGGACCCAATGAGACATATATCGTCTCGTCACAAGATCACAGAGCAGCCGTGGTTGCAGCGTGTATCAAAGGCTACAATTGCAACAAGGTCAAGTGACCACGGAGCATGTTTAGAAAACCGCGATATCGGGATCGGAGTCTGTGATGATTTCAATTTCACGGGTTTTTGGGATGGGCATAAAGTGCCAGTTTACAGGACCATCGCGATGGGCCTCGGTGCCAGTAGGCAGCCCTTGATTTCCAAGACGTCTTTTGCTGGATTAGGACATCACACACGCAAAGCGAGCTGAGAAATGGAGACCCCGCTTCATCGTGGGCAGGATGCGAGTGGGCACACCAAGACAGACTGACGACTGCCCGATTCCTGCAGCGTCGTGGTGTGCGCATAAGTAGGCAGGCAATAAAAAGCGAAAAGGGCCGGTGGCTAGCTAGACGTGAGCAACTAGCGCCTCTTTTGGGGATGGCTTTCCAATGCTTGTTCTGGCGGGTGCTGGATAGAGTCAGTCCAGACGAGGTGAGCCGCCTAGGCACGTCCAAGGCCGCTGTCGTGGACTGCACGTCGAATCGAACTGGGGAGAGGGAGGCTTGGTGGTGGGCGGGGGGCTTCGAGCATGATTGGGTTCATTCCGCATGCTGCTGTGGGGAGCGAGGCAGGTCTACGTAGGTGGTGGTGGTGCCCAGGCCGTAGGTACATGCCTTCCTGCTGTCTGTGCTATCGTGCAGCGCATGCACCATGCACTTCTGTACCGCAGATACCCCCATACTTATGTACACGCCCAGGGCACATACCTACATGCATGCACCACCCTCTTCAGCATCGGCACGGCCAAATTCGGAGGCTCGGAATCTGGCTGACCATTGGAGGAAAAGGGGAAGTCGATGTCCTGTGCGAGGAATCCCTCAATGAGATGGGATGGAGCTTCGCGAATCACCGTTTTTTTTTTTTTAATTATGCTATCCAAGTTGTGGAGAAATTGGCAGTCGAAGAAGCAACGCCCCCCTGGCTAAAGTCGACGAAAACAATCCAGGTCAAACTGGAGGGGAGCATGGACCAAAGAGGAAGATTGACTTGGTGCAGGGGCTAATTAGCACCATGCTCTTGCTCGTTGTGTCTGGCCATCTTTAGCCTGGTGGCGACGAAGGTTAATCGACCTAGGAGACCAATAGACCAAGCACTAGTATACATGTGGATGAATTGGAGGTTGGGGGAGGCGAAGGGCGGAGGAATATCTGTAAGTTTGCCCTGCAGAACAGACGAAGCAGCTTGTAGGTATGTCTACCTAGTAGGTAGTCTGCAGGGTAGGTAGGGGGCCGAGTAGGCGAGAGGTGTGTGGTGGTGCCGGAACGCTAAGAATGGATCCGCCAGTCTCTTTAGCGCCAATGGATCACGGGTAAAGGACGCTTCTTATTAATCATTAAGAGACATGCCGTTCCTGGTAGATTTGAGGAGCATAATGAATGAACAACGCATCAGAATTCCATGAGGAGCGGGGAGTCGGCAGAAAAAGAAAGAATGAAAGGTGTAATAAAAACAGCACACCTCGACCAAGTGGAAGGTTAAGACTCCGCACTCGATGCAGTTGTCGGCGCATTATATCCTTCCTTTGTCTTGACCCAATCCCCAAATGCTCTACCAATGCGAGGCCCCAAAGGGGAGCCAGTTCCTCGGGTATCCATCGGCCATCTAGCTGGTGGGAGAAGAGAGGAGGGTGGGCAGGCGAAAACGGGGTGGAGTGACGGTGCATGTACCATGCCCGATTTGCATGACTTGCAGCGGGCCTAGCCGTGAGGACGAACGTAGCTGTGGAAAACACAGCAGAGGCAGGCTCGCTGGACGTGGTATGGGAGGAAGGTGGTGAACCCATATGCACCACCTGCCTGTTTCCTCCTCAAAAGGAACCATAGCCCAATCAATAACCGACGGCTGCTACGGCTGTTTCCCTTCTATGGGCCCAACCCGCCATGCTGTCTCGCCTATGCTGCCAGTTGAGGGCCTCACCTCGGCGAGAGCAGCATGCACTAGCTGTGCTTGCCGGAGGGTGTCTGGTGAGAGCGAGTGTGGAGAGAGCGGCCGATGAGGCATGCTGGGGTTGTCCCTCCACGGACGGTTTGGGGTGTCAATTTTCATCCCGCCCACTTCGCTACCCTAGATGCCGCCCCAACACCACATCTTCGACTCCACGGCTGTAATTTTTGGGCTGGCCTCGAGAAGGGGTTGAACGACCAAGTTTTGTTGTTGTTCCGAAATTGTTCTTCGTTGTTCTTTATGCTGGCGACAATGCTTGTTGTGTCATTTTTCATGCCGCCCATCTGTGTAGACACAAACGCATCGTATCTACACACCACACCGTAACACACAGCACGGCTGGTCCGAGATCCGGCCCCTCTGAACGAGTTGTACCACTCATGTGCTTCCACCACGTCACTGCTAGGCTTGAGTACCACCCGCCCATCCGGGACCTGCCTGCCATCCAAAGAACTACATGGAAGAATCTGTGGAACAATCCGAACACTCTGCTGACCGACTGGAAACACACTGCTGGTATATACAAAAGTCGGCTGTTTGGGTTCAAGGTATCCGAACAGTGCGTATTAACCGCGGGAGGCAAGGCTGGCCAAGGCTTGATCAGGCACCATGCTAGGCCGACATGCTAGGCCGACAACGACTCAGTCCGACAAGGTCTCACGCGACATCTTGCTAGTAGTCACCCGGCGAGTTCCAGGCGCCGCGGAAAACAGGTAAAAATGCATCTTGTCACCCACCCCCTGCCCAAACAAAGAAGAAGACTGCACAAATTCGCGAAAGTACAATTTATGTCAAAAGCACGTCGCAGAGGTTCCATTGATTAAACACAAGGCATTTTCCCCGCCTCGCTGAGGCCTACTTCAGAAGGGATTGTGCTCGACATTACATTCATTCCATCCGTGTTACATTAGCCGCTAGCCTCCTGGCCCAGGCGGACCCCCAATCCCCCTAAGCCCTGCACCTACAACCCGTGGAAACTTAGAATATCGCCCGAGTACCTCGACATGCTGCCGCCATAGTATGGACTAGACCAGGCTAGGTCCGTCGAGAAACTCTACGGATTATTCCTGCGGTGTGCTTCGATTTGCATTGGCGGCCAACATCCTGGGTCTTAGACAGCAGAGAAATATACATGGTGCGTTCCTGGGGAGAAACAAACCTTAACCCGAAGTAGCGAGACAGCTCGTCATTTAGTGACTGCGCCCAGTATCAACCACCGAATCTGCGATATCCGGTCGCCTTATTTCACCAGCAAGGCGTGCATGGAGAAAAAGAGAACAAATTCTACACCGCGCAGCAAGTCGCTCGACTCCCATCCCAAAGGCAAGCCACGCCCATAGCGAGACACTGAGATACAAACGCCGCCTTTTCCCTCCACCACACAAGATAAGGTGGGACTTTTGTCACGGGGTCACCGATCTTATCGGTATGAGATGGAACAGTTGTGTGTCTGAATACCATAAGCACGGCATCTTACACCCATCACTCGTTTGCTTCCAGCCCACAAACTCCATAAGCCCAGATGCTCAACGCGGTACGAAAGGCGGCTTCTCGATATTTGGAGGGATCTATCTCTTGTCCAGTGTGTTACTGATGTAGGTATAGTAGTGGCTGATCAATCTGACTGGCGGGGATAGCCGGCCGACCCTTGAACATTTAGGTGAACTATTTCTGTCGTAGACCAGGTAGTCGTCCCAAACGGGCACTTGCGGCTGGCGGTCTACAGCGCGCCCGACAAATAGTTTGACGTGCAAATGAAGGCATGAGGGTATAACAGGAGGCATTGCCCCTCGCACGAGCCCCGGCATGGGAGTTGGGGCCTTAACTAACGCCGGCGAGGCTGCACAGGCAGTTGGGAAGAGGCGGTGTTTCGCTGGAGCTTTTTTAGGATGTTCAGGAACCAACGAGTCGAAGCCCACCCCCTCGATCTGTCTCCCATGCAGCAGTGCCGACCACAGAACCCAGCCCAGCCCAGGACGAGGGAGGCATACGGCCATGTGATGCGGTAGACCGGCCGGAGTCTAAAACAGGCCAATCAAACACCCCTGGGCGATGCTTAGGTAACCAGCGCACGGCATGTAGGTACCTGAGAGCGAGAGCCAGGGTGAGGAGCCGCTAAAATTACCAGTACTGTAGGGATTGAAGATGGTTTCCATTCTCCCAGGTTTTGCCCGTCGCGGGCGTTTGACTGCAATAAATGCCCGCGATGGAGGAGAATTGATTAGACGGCGTCATCTCCTCCTACCGTTGTATCCCATACTGCTCTCTTCTTTCTCTCTTCCCCCTCCAACTTCGGGCAGGGGTCAGAAAAGTCGGGTCTAACGTGGCCATGTCCATGACAACTGACCGTATGTGCCAAGCAAGCCTGGCGCACACCCCTCCTTCATTCGGAGCGGGTGGTCCAATTGGCCTGGAATTTCTGGTGTCTACGACTGGGACTGGGGCGGTCCGACCAAGCTCATGGTGTGATCTGCCGTGTGTCCCTGGCAGGAAATACCTAGCAAATGGGTAGATGCGAATCAAGAATGCCTGCTGGATGGCATGTAGCGATGCCAGAGCAACCTTGCCTCCATGTGAAGGTAAGGCGTCTAAGTCTCCAAGAGTTGTCGGGTTCGAGGAAAAGAACTGGGGGTTCTCCCGCGGATTGGATTTAGAGATGGGCGGCGCCTGGCAACACCACGCTCCTTGCATACTTACCTTACCTGTACGGCGTGGGGGGCGTGAAGGTGGAGGTGATATCAGCCATTCAGACACAGAGGTGCATGCAGCTACCTTAAGTACCTGCTTGTTTGCTTTGTTGACCAAGGGGAAACGTTACGGAGCCTTCTGGGCTGCTGCCAGCAATAGGCCAGTGGGAAATGGGAAGGGAATGCTGAACTGCCAGACCCGCAGAAACACAGATCCATGGATCCATGGATGGCTTCTGCCGCGACACGGCGCCGATCAACGAGGGAGCGAGGGAGCGAGTGCTATGAATACCTACACACGTACCTGGGTGGCTCAACCATGGGAGCCAGGTGTCGGGCTAAAAGGGCGCGCATAACCCAGCGAATACGTCGCAATTCCTCCATGAACCCGATCCTGTCGGTCGGTCGGCCATGCAATGCCATGCGATGCCCACCTGTCCATCAAGCAGGTAGTCGCTCTACACAGCGCGGTGCTCCGGCCAGTGGCAAATGCCTCGCTAAGGCCCGAAGCGACCCTGCGCTTTGTCTTCCCGGTCTTCCACGTTCCCCATGGTCGACACCCTCAACAAATACCCACCAGACTGAATTAGCTTCGCTGCCCTTCCGACGCTACATACAGCTGTGGTTTGTTAAGCCCATTGTGCACATATTTTTGCTGATGGGTGTATGAGCGTGGTTTCAGATGCCAATCTTTGACCTCAGGTCCCCGCGAGTCCAGCTCGGAAAGTCCCCTTTATTACAAGCCGCTTGCCAAGATGAACCGTCCAAGGAAGATGACTGGTAGAGCTGTGATTATTATTATGACCTGCTACCGTCAGCGTAGGGACCGTGCACGGCCAGCCGCCCCTGGTTCCGATTGCTTGCTCATCTCAGTCATCTGGTGCGACAAGCACGTCCTATCCTACCAGGCCAGGATCTCGTCGAGGTACGTAGTGCTACGTACCTCGTATGTGCTACTGATGGATATGGTGATCGGGCGGATTTGGCCTTCGGTTTGTTTATTAAGGCTATCTGTGGCTTCCACCGCCCACGCAAGCATTCCTAGATCGACGTCACGTCAGTCATCTCGTAAGGTTGAAAAGTGTAAAGTTTGTCAAGCCAGGGTCAGTCCGCGTGGTCTCGTGCGCCTCCAGTCTGCACATGAATTATTTGCTACCAGTTGCTCATCAATACCTGCCTAACCCTTTATTAACGCCGTCCCCCAGGATGTTGACTGCCCGCCATTGTAGGAATGCCTGCCCGCATAGAGGTCCTCCGTGGCTCGTCACTATTCGACCCGCGTGACATGACAGGTGAGAGGCCCGTAGGGAAGCAAAACAATCATCTTCGTACTTACTCGATTTGGAGCCAGATCATGTTGGCGTGAAGTCACTTGCGAAGCCACCAACGAATTTACGTAGGTAGTCTGCTCTACGGACGCCGTGCCTGGTGTCAGCTCGTAAATCTTGTTGTCCCTGAGCCGATCTCCACCGGGGCGACGGCGGCCAGTGACTCTTCTCAAACCTTCCTTCGCCAGCCTTGGTAATCATGCTTGTAGGTACGTAGGTAGGCGGTGTTACCCACCGGGCAGAGCCACGAGGGCCCTGGCCGCCTTTCTCTCGCCCCGTGAACTGGCATGATGCAGTGATTGACGACGGGGCGCACGGCACACGGGGGGGTTCCCGCCTGGCGGCCAACATAGCATCGGAGGATGAGGACGTCGCTGACTGCCTGATTGATTGATTCCTGGTCCCCAGAGAGGCCTCGACACCACCGCCATTGGGCTGGCAATGTATTGGCATCGGGGTGCCAAGGCGACGTCGGAGCAGCACCTTGGGCCAAGGTACGAGGGGGCTAGGCCATTACTTACAGCAGTACCAGCACTAAAGAAGTGAGGCCTGGCTGCGCTGCCACACCACACCTGATCAGTCCGCCCAGTGGAAAGGTGACCTAGGTGCTAGGTGGTAGCTAGTTTCATCCAGACACGCCCTGTGCAGGCCCCACAGCACCCATTCTCGCCCTCCCGACAGAGTCCCAGACTCCCAAATGGTGCTCCCCATGTCCCCACCAGCGCCCCATCCATGTCGTATGTCTGCATCTCGCTGGTGAGCCTGTGTGTTGCCTTGTCCCAGCCCAGCCCAGCTCGTCCAATCCATCAGATTTCCTAGGCCGTCTGTCTCCTCCCTGTTCTTCTTCCGTCATGGAGAGCTTCCTACCTCATCGTTGGTAGCCCATCCTGTCGGTTTTGCGAGAAGAGAAGCTGCATTGTTTGTTTCTTTTCTCAGGCGCCATTGTCACGCTTCTTTCCCGCCTGCCTCTTGTTCACTGCGGAATAAGGCGAGTACAGTGGGTGAATCGCCTTTGTCTAGCGGCCCAGCAAGCTGGGCTGCCCGCCCATACCACTCGTCCAAGGACGAACGCAACCACGGGAATCGTTGATGACCGTGTTCCACAACGAATTGCCTTGTCATAGCAATTCTTCAGCAGAGCTTCCTTTATCTAGGCCTTCCCCCCTGCGTTTGAGGTTGCAGCGTCTCATCATTGAGCCGCGACCTGATACCCTTCTCCTACGCCATTCCGAGATCCGCCGCGTATGATACTCGACCTACTCGACCTCAAGTCAACAGCCGACAGCCTCGTGGCGAAGCGTTGAGATCGGATTACCAAGAACGAACCCGACTGAACACCCGAGACCGATTGAAGACATGAGTTCTCTAAAGATCCCCGATAATGGGGTCATGCTGAAGGGGAGCACCAGCGCGGACGCCGGCTCGCTACCCCATCAAGCATTTGCCATTTCGCTGAGCGACAATGTCATTGAGAACATGATAAAATGTGTGCAGACTGGGGGTGACATTTCCCTGGCTCTGGGTGAAAATCCCGTAAGTGAATGGTGCCTGGCGTACCTTTGGCCAGAACTCAGATCTCCCTCACCTGAGCCTCACTTCACCTCGGGCTTTTTAACCTCAAGCCCCGTGCCCGAGGCAGCCCCTTAGCAATAGCGGACAATGAAGCTTCTGCATGCACAATGGGAATGAGAGTTTGCAATGGTGACTAACACAACTTGCAGAGTTTCCACTTTGGTTCGGATTCTCACACGATATCGCGCCCCGAGTCTCAACTCCACGATCTCTATCTTACCAAACCCTTCGAATCAACACGAGAAGCCTATCGTTTACCGCTCACGATGTCGATTTTCAGCAAGCCGAACAAGTTTTTACAGGCTGGCAAGGCAGCTTCCAAGCCTCGGATCGAGAGAGTTCCGAAGGAGAAGCCTAAGGAGAAGCAGCAGGAGAAGCAGGAGCCTACTCCTAAGCAGAAGAAGTCGACAACATCCAGCACTACCTCCTCTTCATCAAACGTTGATTCCGATGTTGAGGTCCTCCGCAAGGAACTCTTGGCTCAAGAAATGGCCAAGGGCAGGTTTGTGCTTGCCCCGACATACCTTAGAATTGGTTTCCCTTGATGCTTACAATTGATAGATCGGTGCTTGTCAACACACTTCCCACCGGAAAGAAAGGCTCAAAAGCAAAGGGCGGTTTCCTCACCGGCAGTAGCAACACACCCCGGTCGGTGCCACAATCTCCTTCGTTGAAGCCGAACGCCTCCCCTCTATCGATTATGTCCTCCACCGACCAAGCCAAGGAACGATCGAAGCAGCTCCGCAAGACGCTAGTACATGAGCTGGCAGTATCCGACCAGACAACCTCATATCTTGAGGGCAAGTTTGACGGGCCGGCTGCGGATTTCCGACCAACTTTGGACAAGGTTGCAGTTATTAGTGGTGGAAGCCTTTGGAAACTTAGACAGTCATATTGGCGAGACCTCGACCCCTATGCATACCGGTACAAGGATGACAAGTCACGGAATACCGCAATAGAGAATGCGATCAAGATCTTCGACAAGCAGAGAATCTCCCCCTCTGAGCCCGAATGGCAGCGCTTACTTCCTGTGGAGGAACGAGGCAAGGGCAAGTCCCTGAGCCGACTTCAAGAGAAACTTGCCAAAGGCCCGCCTAACGCACCTCCCAAGATCACTCTACAAAAGCCTGATGACAGCTCAACCTCCAAGGACGACGATCCATTGATCGAGAAGACTCAGAAGATGTCACGTTCAACAAACCCACTGAAGCCGAAGAAGGCCAGTACGCAAGCCGCCGCGAAGCGGGCAGCCAGCAACCCATCCAAACCCAAGCCATCGACTATCAAGGCCTCTCCTACAAAGCCGAAGGCAGTAGCAAAGACTAATGGACGGCCGGCACTATCTCAAGAATTTATCGAGAACTCGGACTCATCAGGTGACGAGGCGGTGGTGGTTGAGAGACCCAGGCCGGTTGAGCCCAAGCCTGTGTCTAAGCCAGCTGCAAAGCCAGCCCCCAAACTTGATGAGAAGCCACTACCCAGGCCCAAGCCCAAGACGGCAGCAAAGGAACCAGTACAGCGGACTGCCCTCAAGCGACCACCGACAGACGACGACTCAAGTTCGAGCTCGGGAACTCCTTTGTCGAAGCGGCTGAAGATCAAGCAGCCTTTGCCTAGCCAGAAGATGAAGAGCACACCAGTCGAGGCGCGAAAGGCTCACCGCGATATAAGTGCGCCTGCATCTGGGAGGAACAAGAACACATCGCCCGTGAAGTCCTCACCGCTCGCATCTTCGCCTCCAACCAACGCCTCGGAGCTTTCCGAGGACGAACGACGCCTTCCCAAGAAGCGCAAGGCAAACGGAGAGGTCATAGTTGCCCCGGCTGCAAAGAGGCATGCACCATCGGCGGAAGTGATGTCGCAGGCGGCCAAGTTCGAAGCCGCCTACCAACAATATTACACGCTGCACTTTGAGATTGCGGACCTCAAGAACCCGCCTATGGACAAGCTGGACAGCCTGAACGATTTGAGAAGCCGCCTGCAGGTGATGAAGGCGGAGATTTACAAAAAGCATGGATCGTCTCGACACTGAGATGTCTGGAGACGCGCGATCTCGATTTGGAGTTAAAGTACCGATCCCCAAGCCCGAACATCGGGCAGGACGCACTGGAGTTGGACGGTTTTGATTTTTATATAATTCATTTTTGCTTTTTTTGCCAGACGGGGCAATAAAAAACAGGGCCAAGCATGCATCGAAACAACTGGAGCTTTTTTTCGGATTCACTATATCCATCGGGGTTTACGCGACCCCCCTTCCTCCCAAATTTCCTCTTCTCCTCTTGTTTTACGGATTTGTTTTTTGCTTTTTTTTTTTTCGAATGATACCACGGATTGGCCGACGAAGGTACTATGGGGACATGGCACTGAAGGACACTGTCGTCCATGCCGGGACAGATAAAGAAGACATGAGGAATTGGCCATACATCGATGATAGCAGCTAGTAGAACTCTTGCCAATGGTATTGGAATGAGAATGATAAATCTTCTTGACATGAACTGAATATTCCACCATCTTCTGAGACACGGAGATTTGCAAAGACTGGGTGCGCAGAAATCGAACAGGTCGTGGCGTTGGCTCTCACTCGCCAATGCATGTGTGTGCCTTGCATCTAACAGATCATCAGATAGGTCGCAGCGAGCCGGGTCCGCAGCCGCTCAGGTTGATTTGTGACAGGTATGATCCAGAGGGCCGGATGCGAGACCGCAGCGCTGGGACTGCAAGGACGCTCGGTTCGCTCACCACGGCGTCGGCTGTGTGCATTAGGTGCGCTCGGCTCCCCCTGCTGGATTGTATTGCTGTATGTTGGATTGGACGCGATCTGGGTTGCACCGCATTCGATGTAGGATCCAGCGCCGATCTTCCCAGTTAGGCATGGCCCTGGACCCTGTGAGATCTCATCCTGGAATCTTCTTGGACCTCCCACATTTCGGTGGCCCAAAAAAAAACAGAGGTGGGCCTCTTGCTTAGCTCCCGTTTTGATGACTTAGGAGCCTTACCTCCCCCTACCTACTAAAAATCCTCACACTTACGGTCTGGACTGTTGGGCGTTCTTGCCGGGTGGGTTTCTTTTTCCCTTCTTCTCTGACTACGGCAATTTCTCCTGTTGCACCACCGACCTCATCACACAGACTGCCCCTTTCTCCCGACTGGTTCAAGATGAGTGTGTAAACCAACCTTTCGCCTCAGCGCGAGAGAGCAGAATTTTTTCTCTTTCACTAGAATCGGGTCATCATTTTGTCTTCATTTCCTTACAAGAAACCACCCCCGTTGCGATAACTAGTGGAGGTCTTCCAAGCCAAACCTAACCCCGTAACACTAAAATTACGCATTGGCTCTGTCTTTGTGGGGAAGAAGATTCCAAAATAGTTCCACCCCTTGCTCGACAGACTTTCAAGATGGTTGTGCCTGCGATCGAGGACTTCCCACAGATGTGGCAGCGTCCCAGCTTTGACGTGCTGATGGAGATCCTCCAAAGCCTGGAGCTCAGCCCGCCGATATGGAATCATAGGCGGCGAGGCTCCGAGGCCGTCCGTGAGCAGCAAGAGACTCTCAACGCTCAGCGGAAGGGCGAGGTCACACGCTACCTTTCATCCGTCATCAGCAGCCCACTCGCCTGGATCGACGATGAGGATCAGCAGGAGCAGCTGTGGACTTGTGCTAGCAAACGTATGTCTGAGCGCTGTGGAAGAACCGCCATGGGGGAAGTGACCAGGTCGTGGCCCTTTGTTAGTGATGGGGTCGCCTATGAGTCCTTTGATCTCATCATCAAGGAGCCGGCTCTCACTGGCGATTCACTCGGATTTAAGACGTGGGGGTCATCCTATGTGCTGTCGCAACATCTTCCCGTTCTTGGGTCCACGTCCCTCTTCAAGTTGTTCGACGAATCTCTCGGCCAGCCTCGTCCGGACGTGTTGGAACTTGGATCTGGGACGGGCCTTTTGGGGTTGGCGGCGGCGGCACTGTGGAAAGTGCCCGTCTGGCTGAGCGACTTACCAAACATCGTGCCCAATCTCGAGGAGAATGCCGAGAAGAACACAGCGCTCATCGAGGCAAGGGGAGGGTCGCTGAAGGTCGGATCCCTTACATGGGGAGGCAAGGGTGAGGATGAGGTTGACCCGGAGTTGTTCGGCGAGCGCTTCCAGTTCAAGGTTCGTACATAGAATCTCTTCAGATATCCCACTTCTTTTTCTTCCGAGCGAGTCAAGCGCGGTTTTGGTTACGACTTGTTCCATTTTACTTACTAGGCGGCTATAGATTGTCCTTGCGGCGGACCCGCTGTACGACGACGAACATCCAGGTCTCCTTGCTTCTGCCATTGCACAGAACCTCGCCCTGGATGTAGATGCGCGTGCAGTAGTCATGGTTCCCCAGCGAGACGACACGACAAAGCGGCTTATGGGAGATTTCAAAAAGGAGATGCTGGAACTCGACACGCCGCTGTACTGCATAGAGGAGGACGAACTTGCGGGTCAAGATGACTGGGTTGAGGATGAAGAAGGCGGTAATGTGAGGTGTTGGTTGGGCGTCTTTTCGAGAGGAGGATCACGGATGAGCGAAGTTGATCAATGATTCATGGCTGATGATAGACTAGGCATGGGAACATAGACTAGATTTGTAGACGCAGATAGACCATTAGACTTAAGTAGAAGGATAGAAGCAAATGATAAACATGCAAAGACCTTACCCGTAGGCTAACCCATTACGAATACCAGGAAGGAGCGGGTAGGGAGGCTTTAGTGGAGGCAGCTAGAGGAAGAGGCCTGGAAGAGCCAGAGCCAGAGGTACAGGTACCGCGGCGTGGGTGCAGGGAGGAGAGAGGAAGTAAAGGTTTCCCACCACAAGCCTCCGCCGTATCAGTGACCTCCAGTTGTTGGCACTGGGAAGCCCTAGAGGATGCTTCCGCAAATCATCTGACCTTGCCTTGATGCCCCCAAGCTGGCCCAAGTTGACTCAGCGGCATCTGGAAGCTGTTTGCTGCCCTGAGCACAATCGACAAGTACCAGCCAGAGGTTCCGCCAAAAGGACCCGATGCTGCGACTGGGCCCAGGCTATCTCTCCCGAGCGATTCAAGACTGCCAAACCTGCCAGGTACCGGGTACCTCTTGAGATGGCTGAGATGCTCAGTTGGCGGTTGACGCACTGGTGACTTCTCCGGGTCAACTCTACCCGTCCACCACCCACTACTTGCGTTTTCCTCCTTTGCTTTCGGCACGGAGCAAACATCAAACCTTCACAAGTCTCGTAAACACAGATTCAGCCTATTGTCCCTTCTGCTGTATACAACAGCCTTCCCATTCTCTCGCGCCTCGTGGCCCTCCCCAATCGTCACATTCTCGTGACGAAAGGGCTTCACTGCCCGCCGCCTGACAAAACCGTCTGTGAATCGCATAGGCTGTGGATTGCGTGTCGTTTCTTCTGTAACGCCGCAGCCTACCTGTCCCCACTGCTGCTCTTCACCACAGTTCCCCAGCGCAGTTGCTCGACCTCTCTTGTTCCAAACCCACTCGCCACCCATTCACCCTCGCTTCACAGACGCCTGTACTCACCTGACTTGGCCTCAGTGTTGCAGGCATAAAGCCCAGCTTCCCCTGTATGGTGTGTCTCAGACATGCTTATCGTCTCCGGCACTATTCGCTTCGTTCCATTCTCCTGTTTCATTTCTTGCTTTGGCGCTGCTATTCATTTTCAGCGCACAACCCGGGTCTGAGAAAGGTAGGAGCCAGAACCGAATCACAACTCAAAGAGACGAGACAGGATTTACAGCGCGAAGCAGCGAGGACTCTTGTAGAAAATGACTGGTATTTCTCAGTACAAACACGATGAGATTCGTTTCGTCCTCAGGGAGATCGTCAGAAAAACCAAGCTTCCTTCCATCAGTGAAGGCTTCTTCACCCGCTTTACCAAAACCCTGAACCCGAATCAGATTCGATATATCAAGAACAAATATGGAAAGGATCCTACCTTCAAGTGAGTAACAGTTGATCCCGTAGCACTCCTCTGCATCTATCACACCACCGTCATGGCCTACATGGCGCATCCATCTTCTGGAACGGTTTAGCTAACTGAATGTCTCTAGGAGTCCCATGATCAACTACCGCGGCGCCAACGCAGCCGACTTGGAAGATTCGGATAATTCTCAAGAAGAGCAGAGTGGTTGGGTAAATCATCCCCTGCTTCTCGCCCCAGAGAATCACAGTCCTCGTGAGCAGTCCCAGAGCCCGGAACTGCTGGCATCACACAATCCGATCCCGACAGGACCTTCTGTGCCAAACCCACCCAAAACCACGAAAAGTCATGAGAGTCCAGTCTCTCTCATCCCTGGTTGGCCGCAGCGACGGGAGCAAGGGATTTACTTCCAACCCAGTAACCGTATATATCAGCAGCCCCAAGATCTGAACATCCCCTCTCAAATCCTCCCGGCCGAGCCAGACCTCAGCCAACAACCAATAATACCAGTTGCACAAGCAAGGTAAGCGCATCTCCTGACTGCCATCTCCGGCATTATAATATGTGGTGTGGTTACTGACCAGTTGAAACCAGCAACATAGCCCAGCCCCCGGTCGGTTGGGTTCACCTTCCACCCTCCAACTTTCCATATTACACACAGATGCCCGGGGCAAATACTGGATGGGGGCAAGGAGCCCATCAACTCTATCCTGGGTCTATGCACGGCTCTCCCGTCTTCTTTCCGGACAGCTCCATGCCCATTTCGCATCTCCAGGCAGGGTACTATGGCGGTATCGAGCCCGCTCCTCAAGGGTTTCACTACCCAGCCCAGTCCCCACGCTTCGTCGATAGTAGTTCTATGAATCAGTACGGAATGTCATCAATACCAGATCCGATGTGGGCAAAGGCCAGAGAAGCTTCGCCATTGCCCGCTCGTGTCTCTGCCACCTCTAATAGACGAGACCGTCGTCATAACCCCTATTCAAGACCAACTGTAGGGCCAAATACCCGACCCGCACACGGTACTGTATCACGGCCTCCTTCGCAAGTGGCCACAGAAGGTGGTTCCCCACCTCTGATTCCTTACGGGCCCATGCCGCGACCTTCACAAGTGATTCAAGGGAACGTCGTCTCCTCTCCACGCCCCAATCATGCCCCACCGAAAGCATCTTCATCGAAAAAGGGCCAAACGACCGCTACTTCCTCATCGCGACCCGAATCTGCTATCCGAACTCGACGACGCAATGTGTCTGGGACAGGATACAACGTTCACGGAATAAGGCCGCGCCGGACCCCAGGAACCGCCCCTCTCACCCGGTTTCCGGACTCATACAATGGCGTTTTGAGTAACTTTGTCCACGACATGAACCAACCAGTTACGAGCTTACCGGAACCGTCATTGCCGTCACAAGCCACGCGGAATCAGGACGGCCGAAGCAGTGGCGGCCACTTTGAGGACATCAACTTGGAGTTCGCTGTTGATCCTATTGCAAAATACACCACTTACCCTCCTTCAGAGCCTGAATATACCGAGCAAAAGGCCAGCCGAGGCTCTATTGCAACCCCGGAAGCTATTGTCCCGGCTCATTCTCTTACTGGCGCAGGCCCGTCTCTCAGCTTGCCGGCAGGCTCACAACCTTTAGGATCATCGACTCTTCTCGAATCTGTAGAATCCCCTTCTGAGTTTGTGCCAGTTCAGACTACTCCTTTTACTCCTTCGGCGTCACCTTTCTTGTTTACTCCTTCTCAAGCTATGATTTTCAAGCCCAACGCTACTGAGAGGAATGGCGAGAGGGAAAAGGGAAAGGGGAAAGGTAAGGAAATAAGCAATCAAGTCCTAGAAGCCAGGGAGATGAGACGACAGCAGGAGATTATCCGAAACAACAATATCCAAGTTGCCTTGAACCAGATGTTTGAGAGGGACGAAGCATGGCGCCGCGTGGAGGGCAAGCAGGAAGTAGCTCAGGCTGCAGTCGAGGCGCAGAACCCACCTACAACTCAAGTAGAGGATGCAAGCCAACTCCTCACTCATGGGAAATACCAGGGTTGCACCAAATCCCAGCACCAGACTGAAACCTCAACCTCGAGATCAGACATGCTACCTCTTGACCAGGCTGTTCTTCAGCCTCTTTCGCCTGGCCAGTGTTCGAAGAGCATCACATATGAGGAGATGAAGTCCTGGGGTGAGGGGGTGGTTGGAAGCGAGGTGTTGCAAGAAACCCTCCTTTCTCTGGACTGTGACGCACCCGCCAACTCATCTGAGCGGGTGGTTGAGCTGGCGTGAGCATTGGTGTGGACGGAAGGCAACGTCGTTGGAACAGAGATACACCGTCAACCCATCTTGAAACTCGGCAGTTTCAACATCAAGGGTTATGATTCAGGGTTGAAAGAGCCCTGTGGACGATCACTAGGGAGGGAGGTTCATGCCACTGGATCTACCCCTACGGGTAATACTTTTGAGCAAGGCGCATTTTGGAGCAAAGGCGTTTTTTGCATACTGGGCATTCTGGTCAGTCTTTCGGGGAATAGGGAAGGGAGCTTTGCAGTAATTCGTCAAGTTTAGTGTGTTACTTTTGCTATTTTCTTCGCTCTTCTGCCGCGTCTGTTGAATTGTTTTTTTTAAGTACACACTGCTTTGAGTCATCATCAACATTTGAAAATACTCAAGGAAAGGTATCGTTGCTCCCATTCAAAAAAAAAAGGTCTTGAAAAACACAAACAAATAACACATCGAAAAAAAAGACATTGTGAGTCAAAACCCGGTGCTAGACTCTCTTTCTCTCCTCCTCTTTTTTCTGTGACCCTTCCTTTTCACGCTGTTTAATGCTGGATTCACAAAGCCAGGGTATCAAGTGCACGAAATTAGACCGCCCGCTTGCGACGGACTCGTGCCAAATCTCGTCTCAGTAAAATTGGGAAAAAACATTAATTCATAAGAATCGAAAGTCGTTTGAAGCGTAATACGCACTTTGGCGTCTGTTTATGTGTATAATATAAGGTGTAGTCATAAATTGTCGATAAAGAGGTAAATATTGGGAGGGGGGGATAATAATGGGGAACTTGGTATTATATCAAATACCAGGGTGGATTCCTTGTCTAAACGACGATGCTGACGTTTCTTCGAGTTTCAACCTCGTCAATGGAGAACTGAAACACGAATTTGAAGAGTTCGCGGAGATAGGAGTATCGATGGGAGGACTTGCTGACAACAAATATCGCTTTGGCCATATCATAGGCAGAGACACGTTTGCCCCGAGGAGGTAGAGGATGATGTCGCGGGATGATGGTGTCAGTGAGGACAGAGTTCTTGTATTGTTGTAGGAGGGTTGTGTGGCTAGAGAGGGTCCCAAAGGCACCAGTCGGTAGGCTATCGACAAACTTCTGTAAGACCAGAGAGCCTGACTTAGGGTCGACGACGGAGTCACGGTTGAAGCCAAGATTCATTGCCGCACGAAGGACCAACACCTTGGCGCGAGCAATGTTGGGATCTTCGGCCGTGGCAGTAGTTGTAGCTGTGCTAGAAGTTCTGGTACTTCCGTGGGAGTAACTCGACAAATTCGAAGCATTACTTGACCATCTCCCAGCGCGGCCACTATCGCTAGAAGTGCCCAAGACCATGATATTAGGCATTTGAGGTGATCTGCTCTCAGGCGACACTGGGGTATCTTCGAACTCAGTCACGGGCGTCTCAGGAATAAAGGCCGGAATAGTGTTCCTTTGACGCTCTCTCTCTCGCTCTCGTTCCCGTTCTTTTTCTCGCTCTTGCTCACGCTCACGCTCACGATTATCTTGGCGAACACTCTTTACGCTCTCACGTTTTGAATGAGCTGAACGGACCGATGTTCGGCTCTCACGGCCGCTTTGGTCGACTGGCTGGTGAGAGAAGAAGTTCGTTTGTGTAGGACGAGGCGTGTTACGGTCAGGATGAACTTGTGTCCAGCCGTGACGGAAAATTTCCATGAGGTCCCAGCAGGCTTGGACAGCGGAGGATAGCAGTTCCTCGTCCGGCGGTCGACCTTCACGGCTGTTCTGTCGTAAATTGAATAGCATCTCGGCAAGACCCCAGCATGCGCGAAGTAGCTGGTCCGTTTCGTCTTCCGTATCGCCTCTTTGTCTCATTAAACGGTGGCAGAGGGTGATGTAGAAGTCCAAAGTCCTCTCCCGGAAGACCTCTGGAAGGTGCTGGCTATCCTGAGCGCTATAGAGGCTGCGTAGATATGCTGGTCAGCAGGTAGTTTCAACGACGGCAAGTGATTTGGCTTACTGGTTATTCAACTCGAAGCTCACTCGCAGCACGGAGTCAGCTGCCTCATCTTTTCGCTGTCTGACATCAAAAAGGGCTTGGCAGAAATCGCGACATAAATCAAGGCTAATTCTGACGTTTAAAGATTCGGATTCGCCATCCTTATAATCGTAGAGTCGCTGGCACAGTTTCCAACAGGTCCTCCATGCCCTCTCGTGTGCATCAGGAGTACCAGAGCTATTGAACACCCTAGTCCGATGAATGGAGCTTAGAGTTGCCAGAGTGTTGCACAGGGTCCAACATTCTTGAAGAGCTGTCCGTAGTGCAGCAACCTCAGGGTTTTCTGGAGCATAGTGCAGTTTGTGAACAGAATAGTCATCGTCGTCATCACCTTCAGCCTCTGTTTGCTCATCGATTTCTTTTCATGTGGTTAGAATAGGTGCTTCTAGGGACATGGGGTGTCAAGACTCACTTTCAAGACTGCTGGTGCTGCTTGAGCGCAGCCGCTGGTTCTCTTCCATCATATCTTGCAGATCCTGAGCTCGGGGCGTGGCACTGTCAATACTGTATCTGACAGGCTTGACGTCCGTGGAGAGCAGGGGTCTGGACGGCTGCTCCTTGCGCTAGAAGAAATATTAACTTTACTGTGATGCTGACATGAATTCATTATTCTTTTCTCACATCTGGCGGGCTCCCATTGAGGACTGCCAATGCTTCCTCGTTGGCCTTGGGGGAGCCTTTGCTGTTGGACTGGCTCGATTGAGAGGATGCTTCAGAAGATTTCTGTCTTGAGAGTTAGTAACTGCTTCTTCCTGTTCCCTTTTTGTCTGCGGAGATCACTCACCCAGCTGGCGAAGCTCTCAGGAGCGTGAATCACAGAGACCGCCTCTTCACTGGGCTGTTTCATGGTATCTGAAAGGAAGGTATTGAGCATCAGAATCTACGAGACAACCAGTGTTAGCAATAAGTGCCACGCCATGGCTCACAAGATTCTGACAAACCTCTGAACGGGGTTGGTCCAGTCCCCTTCCCGCTTCACTTGTGTGCTCGTAATGCAGATCCTCCGACGCTTCATCCTCAATCTCTGTTATCTCTGTGCCGTTAGATGTCACCGGTGATGGGCCGACAATGTCGCTTGGGCTTAATAAGTGCATCGAATTGGAGGATACTCTGTTGACAGAGCTTGGGCGAAGGGTAGAAGAGTCGGTAGAAGGCGGAGGAGAGGAACTGGAAATTGGTCAAGTCAGCCACCGTCCTGGTAAGAAAAAGGCATGATGC